TTTTCCGCCTCTCCTCGCAACCACTGACTGACAAGAGCCACTCGAAAGTGGCTACAGTGGGTCCGCAGTGCTCATCAGAAACTAACCATTGCACACACATCTGCATTCGTGGTCGCTCCTGTCCAAATGGGGATGGCGAAAAACAACAAGGAAAACAACAACAACAAACAGGAGATGGAGGAGCAGAGCCTGGTCAATCGCCGGCGTTCAACGTCCAAGTCAAGGACCATTGCCTTGCCCTCAAGTGGAACTCCGCCCTTCTGTTTTTGTTTCTATGTAAACTTTTTTCTCCGCCATTCGCTTTGGTTTGCATTTGTTTTTTCTGCCCCCGCTTCACTTCACTTTTTTTCTTTTTTAGTTTTTGGCCACGCTTTGCGCGGAAATGTAAATTAATTGGTCTAACAAAGTGCACTTCAATTGTGCTGCGGGCATGTGTTGTTATAGTTGTTAGTTTGCGTGTTCTTGTTGGTTGGGTTTTTCGGGGAGTTTTTCATTTCTGGCCGGGCGATCATTACAGTTTCGAGTGTTCCATAATGCAGCCAGCATGACATTTTTAGAGGTTGACTCTTTTGACATCTTCCAAATAGTTTTTAATGCTTATGGGTTTTTTTTTACAAAAAGTGGGCTGGTTAACTTTTAAACTGAAGTTTTGATAATTTCTAAAAGCGCTGAAGTACTATTTTAAAAAGTGTACCTTGATTCCCTTATAACAACATGTCCACTTCATTTATCAATTTTCCCCCTAAAACAATAAAAAAGTTTATAACAAACACCCACATCTTTTTATAAATATTCATAAAACGGGCCACTCAAAATCACGTTTTACTACCAAAAATGTTTTGATTGCAACCTACCAAAACCCAAAAAATCTGAATCGGTGATTATAAATTTAAACTAAACAGACAATTAATGCTTAAGAGAGCTGCCGGCCAAAATCTCGAGTTGCGCCACTAATCAAACTACTTTTCGAGGAACCCACGCAACATCAACAACGGCATCAGACAATCGGTCAGACAATTTCAAGTGCTTCTAACAAACAAACTTCAAAGCCTACGCACTCCGTTGTTATTTGTTGTGAACTTGTTTTTGTATTTCTGTTTTTTTTTTTTTTTTGTTTTTGGTTACTTGTTGCTGCTCAGCCGCCGCTGCTTTTGTTTCTGTTTCAGTTTCTGGGCTTCAACAGGTAACGTCTTATGCCCCACACGGCCAAAAGACTTGACAGGCATTCGGCGGGTTGACATTTCTTGTTTGGCTTGAGGAGTGTTGACCAATGTCGTCTCCCACACCCAGAGTCTGGTTTTCCTGGGTCTGCGCTTCGAAAGTGTGGAAATCTTGTCATGAATGAGCATTTCCCCAACTTGAGACACGCTCGATTGTGTTGTCTTTTGATAAATAATCGGCTTTGGCCCCTATTACCCCTCCCATCATCTTACTTTTTTATGCTAAATCGTGTTAACACGTATTAGATCTCATGTGGCTCATCAAGAATTGAAAGTTTTCAAGATTTCTTTGCATTTCAGCTTCCGTGTGCGACTCAAAAAGCTGGAGTGAATACCTTTTCTGAAGAGTATTTGAAATGCTTGAGACTTTAAGTAGATAATTATCTGGGTTAAGGCTGAGTTACAGCACAAAAGTAAGAATGACACCTGAAGACTTTGTGGAGATGGTAATAAACTATAACAATTTAGTTATCTTTGTTAGTTTAGTTTTTCCCAAGTTGTACTTTAGAGCATGTGTTAATTTTATGGTATAATAGCCATAAATACCATAGCCAGCCAAAAAGGCTGATAATATGATTTCAAATTTCGTAGTATAAGCCAATATCCTTTTATCTTGGATTCTGGCCTTATAAAAAATTCTGTCTTTTATTTTCACAAATTTATTCCCTATCTGAGAAGTGAAAAAAATTGTTTACAAATTTTCAATTTAACAAACATTTTTCCCTTTCTTTTCATTATAAATTTGTTACATTTTCCACAACTTTTAATTAGCATTTAAAACGTTAGGCATTCCTGAAGTTATTCTCTTTTCGCTTTCATTTTGTTACTCTATTTGTCTATTGCACTGAAATATTTGCTAGATTTTATTGGCACTGAAACAATTCTTAAGGCGATTGAAATTGCCAGCAAGAGGAATTTTCATAAATTGCACACAAATTTCAATTTCACTTTGCGCGAGGCGCACACAAGCACAGGGTCATTGTATGTGTGGTTGAGTGAAATACGTGTGCATAATTAATGCACATTTCACTTTAAAATGCACAGGCACACACACACAAACTCACACGAGCAATGCACTCACGCACACACACTCGCAAACAAAATGGCGACGGCTGTGACGCCTTTTCCGCCATTTGCTTTGAGCCGAGATTTGTGTTTAATTGTTGCATGGCGAATTCAATTTGCATGTGTGCAATGTTATTGCTCTGTGTGTGTGCGAGCGTTTTTGCTTGACTGTGTTGGTGAGAGTGCAACACACGCCTCGAAATAGGCAGCGAATGTTTGGCTCTATGAAGCTGGTTAATTTTTTTGTGGTTTCAAAAACATATTCTTTTTAAAAAACGTTCACTTTAATTTATTATTTTATTAAATTTGATTTATTGGTTACTTTTATTTTACTTCTTTAAATTCTCTTGGCGGCGGATTATTTCAAAATGTTCACCAACACCGGAACCGGTTAAAAAGAGTTCTGCCACTTGGCGTTTTCCGTTAAACACGCGCGACCGGGCGCATCTCAAAACACGAACTGAAATCCGAAACTGAAAACTCGACGCCAGCATCCACAGTTGGCGCCGGCAGCGACGTCGACAGAGGCAGCGAGTTATCCGGAATAAAATCCGAAATAGCCAAAGTTCGTTCGTCTATCGGCATCGACAGCGAACTTCGTGGACCGACGATTTTCCACATGTGGGAGTCGGCCATTTCCCGAGATAATAACAACAACAGAGAGCGAGAACGAGAACGACAACAGAGCGCCCCCGAAAAGTTGGAGACATGGAGCGAGTCTGCGGAGAGAATCTTTGGCACCAGGGAGAGCGGAAAACAGCCGGTTGGTACCGCTATTGTATACCGGCAAAATAAACAAAACACGACTTTCAAAGAAGTAACCGACATTTGAAAGCCCTTATAAAATATAATGTACTCTTTAATTTTTATGACCAGAAAAAGCAGAAAGATTATTATATGACATTAATAAATAGATTACAACTTGTAGATGTGAAATTTAATAACAGTCATTTTAGTTGTCGTTTATCGTTTTTAGAAAATATTTATTTTATATTATTTTTTTGTATTTAATTTATATATTTACTAAATAATTCAATTGACACCTTGATAGTACACACAATGTTTACTAAATAAATATTTGTTTTCGGGTCAAGAAAAATTGGAGACTTTTCCTTCCCAGTATTACTAACATTGGAAGTGGTTAGCCTACAAAGCTTTCAAAAGCACAGGCTTCTGCGCAATGATAACTTTGCTGAAGAACTAAATAATACGGGGAAAATTCTAAGCTCAGGAAGATATCCTGTATTGTAACCAAAGCTTTAGATAAAAGCTTTTTAAAGGAAACATATTTTCAAATCGAATTTATATGTTTTAAATGATATACATACTGTTTAAGTTTAACGTTCTACTTCAATTATTTTATGCAAAGTACAAAATAGTTTCATTAAGTTCAGCTTAGCTAATTAAAACATTATAGTTAAACAATTTTTGCAGAGAAGATACATTTAAACATTAAAACATCAAGAAAAAATTGATTGGAAATAGGAAAACATAAAATTACAAGCCCCGATAAAAAATTAAAAATTACTTGTGCGCGACCATTAACAGAACATTTATCGTTCCGGCTTAACATCCTAATTTCCAAGCGTGAAAAATTTGCATTTAAGCCCAAAGCAATTGAAGCGATAAAATAATTATAATTGAATTGAAATAGGAGGCAAGGAAACAAGAAAAGCCCAATGCTGCAGACAAAAGCCAAGAATATTGAAAAGAAAAGCGAAAAGCGTCTTAAAATAATTATCTTAAATAGGCGAATGTAATTACAACAAAGAGGCAGGCACAGAACAATGAAAATGGGGCTGATGATGGGGCCACGCCCCCGCCCACTGGATTATCCACCCCCTCATCCGCAAACAATTCAAATAAATAAACAAACAGACGCCACAACTTCACTTGGGAAGCGCGCGCCACACTGAACTCTCGAGAATATTGAAAGTGGTGGAAAGGGGCATCGGAAAATAGGAAAATCCCTCGACAAAAGGGGCTGGGAAAGCCGTCCCCACAGATGAGTGTCACTGATAAGTGCATCCAGCAAGTGGGCAGAACTCATTTGTGGCCACAATGCCAATTTTGATTGCAACTGCAATCGAGACATTAAGTGCTCGGAATGGAAGACTTCCCCTTGGACTCCAATTTGTATACGGATTGGGTTCATTATAGGCAAGTTCAAGTGGATCGAACTCGGCCCTCGGATCGAATGCAGTAATTTAACCAGTTAATTGCTTAAGCTTATCGAAAAAGATAAAAGAAATTAAAAAAAAATTAAGGAAAAGCTTTTTACAAAAATAATATCAAAGAGTTTGAAAATGTATAAAGGAAAGTTCAATATCAAAGCAATCCTCCAAGACGATTCAAATATCCAAGGTAATCTATTTTTGTACTATTTTAAAATGGAAAATATATGTAGCTCTAAGTTAAGTACCTCAATGGTATAGAGTAAATTCACAATCCATAATTTATGTGGATATTTTTTTTTTAATTAGTGTCGATCTTATCAAAACAAGCTTAAATAAGCCCCACTGTATTTTACGGCTGTTCATAATCTTTCGCAGTTTATGTGCAGATGGTCTGCCAACAAAAGAATAGGACAATGAACTTTCGCGGGAAAGCAAATTTTCATTCACACAGAATAAATATATCATTATGTCAGCAGCGGGTGGAATTTATATGGTTCAAGAAGATCAAATCGGAAAGAATATAAAACTGCACACTTACCTTGAACATTAATGGATTGCGTTCAATGTCAGACTCAGCGTTTTCACAAAGTGTTTCCGTTTCCGAGAGAAAGGCAAGGAACTATTAAACGAAAATTATGCATTAGAATATGAGAATATGAATTGCTATATAAAAAGTTACCTGATCCATGGCACGATCAAAAGACTGGAGATTATGCACAGCCGCATGCAATTGTTTGCCACGATTAATGACTCCATTATTTAAATTAGCATAGCTGGAAAAAATATTAAAAACAAGAAAAAAATTTTAATTCATAATTTTTTATATGAATAATACTATTGACTTTTAAATCCACATATAAAGCATAATATTAATTGAACAGATTTGGATATAAGATAGAAATTCAAAACAATTTTTATTTTTAAGACATTAAACATTTGAATGATACTCCTTAATTAAATATATGGTAATAGACTCAACACAAAATCATTACGTAGTGATTACATAAACACTTCCATAAAAATAACATTAATTTTCAAGTTATTATGTTTAACTCACCGTTGATTAATCACTTCCGTCATCTTCTTGATCCTGGTGGTATCATCATTGGGATAGACGGCAATCAGTTTCTGGGTCAGCTCGTTGAAGACATCGAAGTGCTGCTTATTCTGGTGCAATTCCGCGTGGAAGGACTGTCAAAGGGATGGGGCATAATTAGAGTGGATGCTGAGAGCGCCAAATATTAGCCCCTTACCTTCTGCTCCTTTTGCTGGGCTTCCAGGATGTCGGCCGTGGTGGCGATGGTTCCCATCCGCTCGGCCCTCTGCTCCATGCGGGCCAGCCATTTTTCGAGCTCCAAACGCTTGGCCTCGAACCTGCGGTTAATTTGTGGAGGTGACGGGGGGTTAAGTGGGCGGTCGAGTGTTAAAAGGGGGTGTCACCTACCGCTGTGAGTCGCTCAGCATGTTCTTTAGTTGGGCAGCTCGCTGCAGGACACATTGCGACGTCTCATCCCAGTGTTCACGCAAACGGGTCACTGTTAAACAATTAAACCAATTACTTATTTACTCAGTTCAATTCTGGTTAGTTAAAGTTAGGTAAAACCATATTAAATGTCAATAGGTAAACAAAGATTAGCCAGAGTTTATCGCCTTTCTCTTTGGTTTATTGCCCAACCATGCAATTTAGTAGATACAACAACTTTCGTTAGCATTTTGCTTTGTCAGCTCGGCTTGAGGTTCGTGTGTGTGCTGTTATATGGGTTAAGCTTGAGCCCTGTGCGGGAGGCAGGTTGGGGTTAAGTTACAACACAAACACACTATCTATCCCCCGGTTTGGTTTAGTGGTTACCTTTCAGACAGCAACGCATATAATCTAAGTCCGCTGAACAGTGCGGAGCTAGGGAAAACTGTTTCAGCTCTATGAAGTCGAGAATCAGGAAGAAACGAAAACGTTAAACCAAAAATAATTTAAATTATAATATGTTCTTAAAGAAAAAAGCGTTTAATTTAAAGAGGAATATTATACATTTTATAAACAGACTTTTATTTTTATTTTTCAAGTCTCGTTAATTTAACCGGAGTATTTATAATATATATGTAAGTTCATTAAACGCCTCTCAAACGTATAAGTCAAAAACTAAAAATATGTAGGTATAATTTTTTATTATTAATTTAGCTATTTAGTTTAAATGTTATTAAATAACTATATTTATGAGTAAGTTATATTTCCAATTTATATTTTTTAATTTAATAAGTTAATCTAAGAACTGGGACAAGATAAATATCACATCATATTCATAAACAGATTTTTTGACCTCATGTTTGTGGTACTCAAAAATATATGTTGGGTCCAACAAAATAACTTAAACAATAAAAAGCATAACATCATTAAAAAACTATGCAGAAATCTAGGGATCTGTGGCAGTCATAAGTTTAAACGTAAATTAAACTACAAAGGTTTTCTCTGTGTGTTTGACAGTATTATATCTACAGCTCTACCTTTAAAGTATTTCTTTATCGGGAATGCTTTTTAAATATCTCTAAGACATTTTATTGGGAAAACTGAAGAGTCCACTTCATAAACCTTACCCTGCATACCCCCAGCTGAATTCTGGGTGAGCTGAGTCTCGTCGTGCGACGACCTCCTGCGCATGCGCAACTCCTCCCGCGAAAGGGCGCCACTTCCGGCGGCCACTTGAGCGGCCGCGGCTGCAGCGGCGGCAGCAGCAGCAGCAGCTGCGGCGGCGGCCCTCGACTGCGCCTGATGTTGCAGCAGAGCGGCGGCGGCTGCGGAGCCTGGCGACTGCCCCATGTTGTGGACCACCTGTGGCGGTATGTTGCCCAACAACTGCTGGCGAATCTGCTCGCGAAACTCGCTGCTCAGCGGCATCGGCTGTTGCTGCGAACCGGAAGTTGCGGAATTTGCAACCACATTTGCGGCAGACGAATTTCCAGCACTTGCAGCAGCGGCAGCTGCCACGGCATTTAAATTATTCTGAAAACGATGGCGACTATACTGCAATTCCAGTGGCAAATTCCGATCCAGGGAGCGCATGTGGTGCTCGATGGTGGAGCGCATGGACTGCTCCACGTGGGAGTTTGAACTCGACGAAGAGGAGTTGTTGTGCAGGGATTGCTGCTGGGCCTGAGCCCTCAGTTGCTTCAGTTCCTCCAAAGATTGTCGCGAATCACCAGCTCTTCCCTCATCTAAAGACAGATTTCTCTCGTAGTTGGCAGTTCTTAGATTCACAGAGCCACCGCCCAAGTGACGAGCTCCCGCCGCCAAACTGGCTTTAAAACTTAAATCGAAATTATTCTGAACCGCAGCCTCCATGTTCCTCAGATTCATTTGCTCCTGCATGGCGCGTTCCATGTTGCGCAATCCACTCTCAATTCCCCGCAGTGCATCCTCCGATCCGAATTCCTCGGTGGGCGATGCAATCGATCGCTGGTTGATCTTCTTTGCCTCACTGGCTCTTGTGGGCGCCGGCGATGGCACGGGATTTAGGCTATTTTTGGAGCTCTGTTCACTAAGGGCGGCCACGGCCGATTGGAGAACCAGTGGCGGTGGAGGCGGTGGCATTTCGAAGGGGTTCGAGCACCGCCGAGCAGCCATTCCCTCGGCAGATAAAGTTGAATGCTTTTCGGGTGGCGGCGGTGGCTTGTCCTTGAACTTCATGCCCGCCAGTGGTGAGTTTTGTGCTGAGTTTTGAGCAGAATTTTGGGTGGATGCCGGTTTTCTGGGCAGCGGCGGTGGTTGCCTCATTGGAGGCGGTAATCCTGGCACCACCATGGTCTGTCCATCGGGCATACTCTTTAAACTGTGGCGCTTTGGCGGTATTTCCGGTGGAGCGGCTCGATCGCTGGCGCCTCTGGCGGGAATCGCCGGGACCGGCCGACCTTGTGTGGGCGGTAAAGGGGGCGGGGCACCGGTTTTATGGGCCGGCAGGGTGTTCGTCGTATGCTGCTCCTGTGATCCCTGCTTCCTGAGCAACTGCTGACCTCGCAGAGCTGCCTGTGCCGCCAATTCAGAATTAATGCGAGGTATTTCAGGTGCGAGTTTGGGTCCACCCGAATCGTCGCCACCCAAAGTGGGCGGTATTGGAGGCGGTGGTTTGGCAGCCATTTCCGGTTTTCACTCCCCTCTTTTACCTTGTGCGTTTTAAAGGATTTCCCGGAACTTTGTTTGTTTTTTGTTTTCGTTTCCAGGATTTTAACACTTCACTTGATTTGCATTATCACGTTCCGCATTATGTGCGTTTGATATGTTCGATTGGCCAGCGGCTCTTCACTCAATTAGAGCCGGGGTAAATGCATAAAAAAGTGTATAAAAAAGCGGCACTGTTGACATTGGTGAAACGTTGAATGTTAATGGTAAACACAAGCTCCACCTTTCTCTCTCTCACTCACTCTTCTCACTCTCTTTCGGATTTGGGTTTGTTTATAAAACGTGCCGGAAACTTAACACTACCACCGACCACAAGCAAATACGCCAAAGAGCAGAACAAACACAAAGAGAGTGCGAAAATGCTCTTTACACTCCCACTTTCTCTTCCGCTTTCCTTGCAACTTTCTCTCCCCCACACACACAACCACCATTGCGATTATTTTCACCACACTTTGCGCCTTCAGCTGCGCCGGCTGTCTCTCGTCGCATACTTTTTGGCGCTGTCTGCTTTGCCAACTCATTCGCTCGGTACAGTGAACACCAGGGAAAGGGAAAGAAAGTTATCTTTCAGGTTTCCCTGAAAATTATATTTAAAGAACTCAAACGATCTTTTAAATACCTTATGTAAAGCATTGCAAAGTTATATTTCTCATTTTCAATCTATATATATAAAAGCAAGTTGTGTTAGTTCCACCACTTATAACTTAAGAACGGCTGAACAGATTTGGCTGAAAATTGGTAGGAAGGTAGCTTAGAGCCCGGAATAGGAGTTAGGGTACTTTTTATTCCGTTCGACATACCAAAAATCGCATATAAACTGAGTTATTACCTCATCAAACTGACAAGCACACACTACCATAGCATTTTAACTCAATTTTTTGTAAAGTGAGTAGAAATTATTTGTGATTTTGGTGAATTGAAGTGAAGTGAAGTTTTTCGTGCTTTTTGTGAATTGAAGTGAAGGGAAGTTTAATTAATAATGCCGCGACCAAGACGATCGAATCTTTCCCGACAAAGCCGTAATGCAAGAAGACTACAAAATACTGCAAATGGAAGGTCTGAAGAAGAACAAAACATTGAACGTGAACAGAACCGCGTTAGAATAGGTCGACTTCGTGCTTCTCAATCAGCAGAGCAAAGAGAGGCAATCCGTAATACGGCTCGGTTGACAATGCAGAATCGTCGAGCTTACAACAGAGGTCAAGAAATAGATCATTTGCGACGCAGAAGAAATTTATCAAGTGCTGATTTGAATCGAGCAGCGTTTCAATACGATTGCATCACTGATTACAGCTTGCATCCTAGCGTTTGCATTGGGCAAATGGACGTTGTTTGCGAGTATTGCGGTGCACTGAAGTTTTCCGGAGAAACGCCTGGATTATGCTGCTTTAATGGTAAAGTTAAATTGCCATTGTTGACTCCGCCACCTGAGCCATTGTATTCGTTGCTTTGTGGTGAAACACAAGAATCACGCCACTTTCTTGCAAATACCCGAAAATACAATGGTTGTTTCCAAATGACGTCATTTGGGGCAGATATTATCGAAGAACGAGGATTTAATCCGACATTTAAGGTTTTTTTTTTGTTTGTATTACATAGAATATAGTTAAAGAATAACTTACTTTATCTTAGATACAAGGGCAGATTCACCATCGAATTGGATCATTACTACCTTTCGAAGATACACAAAAAAAATTTTTACAAATATATTTCATGGGCAACATGGAAGAACAACTTGATCGACGTCTAGCGATCAATGAAGGGATGAAGCGAGCAATTCTTCAAGACATGCAGTGTCTGCTTCATGAACATCATGCGATGGTCAAGTTGTTTAAGAGTGCTTTAGAGCGCATGCCAAATGATGACTATAAAGTTGTCATAAAAGCAGATAAACGACCATCTGGAACACACGAAAGGACATTTAATGCTCCAACAATAGACGAAGTCGCCATCCTGATTGTGAACAATTTGATGAATGAGGAGATACATTATCGGGTTTTACTCTTGATCGAAGATAATATATGTGTTACCTCATGCGCGGTAATATATTAATCAGGTTAGAATGCCACCGCCAAATCGTGAAATGAATGAGGCATTTAATCGAGAATTAGAACGGGAACGTGAATATGATCACCAGGAATTAAATTTATTAGTTCAAGCGAATGTACCCCTGTTGAATTCCCAACAGAAGAAAGTTTATAATACTTAAATGAAGGCAAACGATGAAGAAAATTGTGGTTTATATTTCCTAGATGCCCCTGGTGGTACTGACAAGACATTCCTCATGTCATTAGCTTTAGCAACTGTTCGGGCGAGATCCTCATAGCTGTTGCAGTTGCTTCTTTGGGAATAGCAGCCATATTGTTAGAAGGATGCCAAACGGCTCATTCAGCATTAAAATTACCGTTAAATCTTCAAATTATTGAGGAACGAACGTGTAATATTGCAAAACACTCGGAAATGGCCAAAGTTTTAATGGTATCGAAATAAAATTTTTCTTTTTCATATATAAAACAAAAAAAAAATTTCTTTATCTTTTAAACACCAAACGAAGTTTTACCTAAAACTATCGCCATCTGGTGGCGGAACGGAGTTCGCTGGGTTTACTAGTTTAATATAAAATAAAATTTATTTTTGTATGTGTTTCTTTCAGGACTTTTTAAAATTCTTAAACACATTTAAAATAATACCGAAATCCATTTAAACTCCATTACAAAAAATACAAAAATATCTATATATCAAGTTTTTAA